GAGGCCCCCTGTGCAAAGGCAGTAATGAAGAGGAAGTCCAGTGGTTAGGGCTGATGGTTTGAAACCCCCAGCCCCCAATAACATGCCATAAAGCCTACGCCCGAAAACCGGATCCTAAAACCATCATTAACCTCCCACCAGCTATTTGCGAAAGCGATGAGGGTTGGACAAGGGACACCTCAGAAAGGATCTTCACAGTAAGAAATTGCAGCAATCGGCCATTACCTCCTTCCACTTGCTGAGGCTGCCAGTGCCCGCCCGTTTCTGAGGGTCCCCCTTCTAACCCGATGAGTCTGCAGGTTTTTACAAAGTCCAGGGCAGATGCTTTGCAACTGGCCAGACAATCCAGAGAGCCCAAAGTCTTTTGGCTGACATGTATACTCAAGTTATGGTTGAGCGTTTAAGGTAGGATCCAAATTGATTTTGCAGAAATACGGCATTACTGCTTTAGAGTTTGTGGCTCCCTGGCAAGAATCAGAAAACCCAGGCAGCGAAGCACTTCGTCAGAATGCTGGTTGTTTCACTTTTGAGGTTTGAGAGCCTTGTATGCTTTGTCAGGCGTGCTCTGACCTTGCAGAAGGGGTGATTGTTTCACGCTCCTGCTTCACATTCTTCATACCGACAACCCGACAACCCCATCTGTCTAAGGTAGGGAGTTCTGATTTCGCGCGCGCGCGTTCATTTTTCATGAAGCCTCTCTACCCAAAGCAATGTGGCCTTCTCAAAAATATCAGTAACTGTTCTCCGGAGTTCCAGCGCCAACCCAGAGCGCCTTCCCTGGAAGTCTGCAGTACAAACAAGATGTTGTTGCCGTGTTTCAGGGCATACTAATCCCCCAACCCCACGCCTTACACCCTACATGGCCTGCTTGTCAGGCACGATGGGGGTACAGAAGTGGGATCCCAAAAATGACACGGTTGATGTTTAAAGTCTTGCATGGCGCTAAGTACCTTAAACCTGGGAAAATCTAGTACGCTAAGGTCATTCAGCCAAGGGTTGTCGTTTCAAAAGCCCACAAGATTGGGTATTCTTTAGGGTGGCCCAAAATTATTCGGAGGCATATGTGAGATTACTGGGTCAGGGTATGTTTGTACTTATGGTTTCATAGGAGGTTCACTCGTTCACTCCCCGGATTCGCAGCAGGTTACGCGGCGAACATGGAACCCCACATGGTCCTACACATACAGGTAAGAGTATTAGCAGGTTTAGGGATTAGCTGTAGTCTTGGCGTGGCCCTGTTTCAGGTTCCATGCTGCGTTGGGGAAATGTAATGTGCACAGCTTGCCCACTCAAAGCTCGATGTTTTCCTCCTGCTCAAGCTGAGGCTTGAAGCACGACATGTACAAGGTTGATGCGGGCCCCCGAAACGATTAGAATAGTCTCTTTGGGCTACCGATTCTATATCCTTCAGAACTGTAGAAGGAAGTGCAAGTTAGACCTAAACACTGGCTCCTGGATCATAGTCAGCACAGACATGTGAATAGTTGGTTACTTGTCGCTTAAGGTCCTTCTTGTCGTCATGGTGTGATGTGAGAAGGCCCAAGCCATAAGTTCCAAGCATTCAACATTGCTCCCTGCTTCGACGAGGGCGTGACAGTTGTTGACATTGCGATTTAAGGAAGTCACTAGCCTTACCCTGAGTTACTACAACCTGCACACATTGAGGATTTTGCGCGTAGGCTTCCGTCAGTGACTCGATTCTTTCAGCGAGGAGGGAAACTGCATCACCTCCCCAAATCCCTCAACTCCCAGGTGTAGAGGGTCGTTGAGGGGGCTTCAGGATTTCACCCATCCGTAGTTTCTTGGGCCACCTTGGGGTCAGCGGATCCTAAGCTGGTGCATTCTCTCCTCCATCCACCTACTAGCAACAAATAATACTGCCGTTGAGAAGCCACCAGGGCACAGGATTCAGTGTTTAGGGTTCTAGGCTTCTGCCATAATTGAAACCTTTCTGTGGCCTTATGGGATTGCGAGGCCTGGCTGCCAATCATCTAATGCCTAAAACTTCTCAGAAGAAGGTCTATCTTCAGGATTTTTACGGTGCTGTTTCAGTTGTTGTGCAACTCGAATCTGTCTAGTGATTTAATGACCCTAAACCCTAAACTGTTTTTGGCTTAGTCACCGTGGCTGCGGAGGCTTCAAAGCATTCCCTGTGTAGTAACCTTGGGACCACAAGCATGTGGTGCTCCTCAGTCCCTCTTTCCGTAAGGGTCCCTAAGGCCTCCACTTTGGAGGCCACGTGTGTTTGACAAGACATGCTGCTCCGTCTCCTGTGGCCCGCCCCAACACAGCGTCCCACGCACTATGACAGAGGCGGTCAGACACAGCCTGCGACCTCAGCCTTCTCTCCCTGCCATGAACTGATGCAGACGGCCTGGTCTTCAAGCCGGACCCTCAAGCCCAAGACATGACCACTAATGATGCTTGTGATGCTGGGCATCCCCGTTATCCTCAACATGGTCAGGAGCCCATTTCACATAATTGTAAGGCTTTTAATTCTGATATAAGGTCTCTACAGGGTTTCACGGTGTTGTTTGTACAGTGTTGCACACCATGGCGCCGACGATGCTGTCCTCTTGCAGGTGAGAGATGCCAGACACTGGCAACGGATTTCGGAATTAAAACAGCGACCACACGTGTGCGCCTGCTTCACCTAGAGTTTTCAAAGACCTCCGCTTTCAACAAAAAACATAACACACCTTCTCCTATACTACGCGACACCACCTTGACCCCCAAACTCTGAACCCATATTTGACTGCTGCTCCTTGGTGACATCCTTGCTCGATAACTGCTTGATCATGTGAATCCGTCTGTTCAGCCACTTCAGCTGCCTGAAGAACAAATAGATCACTGGGCTTAGGGTTGAGGGCTTCAATGGAAAAGGGTTTTGGGGCTTGGGGTTTAGCAGGTCTAGGGCTGAGGTCAATTTGCGAGGTAAAATGCTCCTCAGGTACAGGCACCATAGAACCCCTCCTACAAAGCTTAGCCTTCAGGCCAAGTTCTCTTGGTAGAAAAAAAGAAGTTCAGGATTCAGACGACAAGGCCATAATCTCCCGACCTAGATTCCTGACCTTCAGCAATAGAATTCGTGGAAAGGAGTAAGAGCTGCCAGAATGGGAGCTGCTCACTTGCACACGCTTTTGGGCCACGTTCTTGTTCCTCTTGTTGTGGACAAATATTGGAAAAAGCTAAGCCACCTCACTACACACAGATCTTCTAGCCAACACCTATTGGAGGTTTGTCGTTGCCGCTAGTTAGAAGCAGGATTACAACGCAGGACAACTAGGACAACCAAGGTCCCAATTCTTAGGTCGGTGGAAGACCCTGCGAACACAAACTTCGTCCATTGACCGGACCCAGAATCTGATTTAAGTGTCTTAAGCTAATCTCCCCTGTACTAAGGTGCTTGTTACGCAGGACGCCGAGAATCCCTCTTTACTGCCCTTTGATCCATATGATTGTCGAGGTTGTCCCTATCTTGATCAAAGTCGCTCAGTGCTCATCTTGCCCTCCGACTTGATGCCCTGGAGCCTTCAGGGTTCAGGGATGAAAGGTTTGAGGAGAGGTCTTAGGGGTGCAGGCTTGGGGATGAGGGATTAGGGTCAAAGGGGTGTTTAGCGGCTAAGCGGTTTACGGCTTTCGGTCAAGGTCTGAGAAGGCCCCACCGTGCACTATGGCTTGGTGACTGTGTATTGCAAACTGCGGAGCACCGCCCGCCGACGGTGCGTTGAAGGACGGTGTTTTAGGTTCAAGGGTCTAGGGTTCGAAGTGTAGCGCGTGTTGGGCATAGATGTACGACACTTGAGGATGTATGCAAAAGCAATGGCAGAGGATCTTTACATGGTGACTTTGAGAAGCTACCTCTGTCACTTAAGAAGTTCTCAGTATAAGGAGACTGGCAGTTCTCCGTGCCAATAATTTGCCACTACCAACCAACCAAGGCAAATTTGAGTTTCTGAAGGGATTCTTTTTCAGGATTCCAACATGCTGGCCCTCTTTTGCTTGGGGGTTTGCCTGTGCATCTTCAACTTTTGAGCAGGTCTTCTAATTCTAAAAAGCTTTCAAAAGATTCAAATCTTACAAGGTAGCAAGTATCCCGCAGTTTGGGCTACATCCGTTCCTCCGTACTTTATAGCTCTGCTTTTGGATTGGGGATCGGTGAAAAGGCCCAGAATTTTGGTCTGGGAGGGGTGTCTGGACATGGGGTAGGGGTGTACGTGTAGGCTAATTTTCATTCCTGCCAAACGTACAATAGCCTTAGTTAAAAAGCCGGAGGCAATTGAGGAAGGGGGGAGGCTGTGGAGAGCGGCCCAGTTCCTGCTTGGGGGAGGCTTGTATCAATCAAAAGCCTGCGTGAAATAACCTGATGCTTTACACTCTGAGACTTCCTCAAACATTAGACTCCCTAGAATCTGGAACGACGCCTTTGTGTCTAAAAGCCTACAAGAAAGCGCGTCATGTCGAGAAATCCTCACGGCCTCTTCTCCTCAGCTCGAAAACTGTCCAGGCTCTTCCCGCTTTGCTTTTCCAGGTAGGCCAGGTCCTTGATGAGGTTGCGAGCGGAGAACGTAGCTGCAGGTTCAGAGGTGAGGATTGAGGGTTTTAGCCTGAAGGATTTGGGAGTAGGGGTGATGGTTTCATGGGTCGTTGCAGGTGCGGTAATGCGTATCCTAAATCGCGTCCTAAAATGCACAGAGGGCTCAACTACTCGGAATGCAGCGCTTCATAAAATTACTCATATATGACGTTACTATAGCCCACAATCATTATCATTTTCTTCTTCGGACGCAGGCCCATGAAGTGAGAGGCTCCCATGAGCGCATACTGGTGAACTGCTCTTCAGGACATAACCGATCTGCAAAGGATCACGAGGAGTTTATAAGAGCCTCCCTTGAAGTCCTATTTAACGTACAAGCAGCGTCGATGGGTATCCCAAATTAGACCCAAGATCCTCTTGCGTCCAGTCTAGACCTTAATACCCCTTCCGTAGGAGAGACCCGCTACTCATCAAGCTGGATTTGAGACTCTGCTCCGGCTACGGCCCATAAAGCCAACTTTCCAAATCCCTCCATCAAGACACCCCAAGTCAAGTCCTTGGCATCACAGTGCTCCTGCGTCTTGACATTGCACTTTGGCATCAGTCGCTCGTGGATGAAGGCCTCCAGGGTCTCGGGTTCCCACCCACGCTTGTACCTGCAAGCAAGCCCATGAGCCTAGCCACAAAGAATATGAGTGCAATGATACTGTTAAATGCTGTGGTTCAGATAACAATGGTGATGACGAAGATGGTATTGATGACGACGACCATGATCGCAAGCGAAGCCGCCGTCAGGACCGCCACCGCCACTGCCACCGGCACCATGAGCAGCAGCACCAGCATCACTTCCACCACGGTCACTACCACAACAAGAAAAACAGCAACAAGTAGGTGTAGCCAGTACCGATTGGGTGGGAGCAAGCAGGAGCTGATATTGAGAACCATACCAAAACGTAGCTGTGCAGGTAGTCAAAGCCGTCTGAAGGAGGACAACAAATCTCCATCATCAGCTCCATTTACCAAGTCTGGCAGCTGCAACAAAGCGGCATCTCAAACTTGAGTTTTCTTTAGCGCATGTTTACACGCCAAGACACAAGAAAGTAATCAAGAGCGCCGCTAAAGGGCCACAATACCAAGAAGAAATGAAAACAACACAAGAACCCAAAACCTACCGCAAGCACAGTGGCATGCTTCGTAGGCTGTCCGGGTGGCAGCTCTCAAAATGCATTCTGACACAGAGGCAGCAAACGTTGCTCAGTAAACAGGCTAACATCTACCAACCAGGGGCTGAGAGCTGAGTAGCTACAAGGGTAATGTAAGATCCCCTCATGGCAATTGATCCGCTGAACTTGCCTGAGACTGTTGGACACAGGCTAATATGCTTGCCGAACATCTTAACCCCAATCTAGGCCTCAATGAACTCCCTGTGTCGTTGAACAGAATTCTCCAAAGGCTTCAGGATGTTCAGGTTTCCCACTGTGAAGAGAAATGCAATTTGGAATTCCAAAACGCCGAACCTATAAGTCCAACACTCCCCATGCCTGAGCGCCATGCCTACATGCATGACCTCTAAAAAGTTCTTCAGCGTGACCTGTTCTCCCTCATAGCCCTCGTTGCAGCGGAGGTACTTGAACCACTTCGACTGCTGCCTTGCACGGCAAGGTAGAAATAGAAGTTCCTAACATTCATGAGCTTCTGGGGTTGAGGTATCACCCAAACCTACCAATCCACACCTTCAACCCTAAACCCTAAACCCTATAGTGGTTTCCATTTTAGTTTCCATCATCCCAATATTACCCCAATAGTACCCTAATGTTACCATAATATACCCTATGTTACCCCAATATAACCCCAAGATAACCCTAATATACCATACTAAGCCCTTAAGGTTCTTACATGCTGACGCCGCAAGCTACAGTAGCCAAGCCTTGAGCTGTATGCCCCTTGTAATCAGTAGGGAATGGGTCTATGTAGGGATGATGGAAAAGAAAATGGAAACTACTATACTGTGTTTAGGGTTTAGGGTCGGGTTATATCAGGATAATAGGGATATTGGAATATAAAATGGAAACTATGAGGAATGCTAAAGTCAAGGGAGTACAGCAGTAGTAGTCGCTGTTGTCATACTGGTCATAGCCATAAGGTAATGGCAGTCATATCAATACAGTAGTAGTCGTCGTCCTAGTAGTAGCACCCATGTTGCGTTTTTTGGCGGTTCGTCATCTGCCATATACCTTGCCACATCTACTTTCTTACGAGGGCATTATCAAAACGGAAAGATCGCATGTCCTACATTCTCTCTCAAGCCTGGCCGGTTCTGAAACCTCTCTTGTTTCGCACCTTGCGCATGTTCGCCTGGATTCTCCCAAAACATGGCAAAGACTTGACTAATCCTTGGGCGGTTGCTAAGTTTTCAGTTTTTGAAACCATGATGTCTTGCATCCAGACGACCTAGATGCTAACATGTATGGCGCATCCATTCCCTGCATCCTTCCGAGAAAGATGCTTACATCCATGGTATCAGTGGTACCACGGCGGCCGGCTTCACAGCATAAAGAACACCTGCGAGGCTTTTGCAAGCCATGGATGCGAAATGGTACCGCGCGATGAATTGTAAGCCCGCGCAGCAGAAAAACATTGAATTTCAAGCCAGCAATGGGGATTCAGCCATGCCAACCAACAGTCTGAGTTCACGTGCTAGACGGGCGGTCACTTTGCAACTTGCACGCTTCCTGAAGATTGTTCTCCATCCCACCGTTGGATGTGATGCACGCTTGCCTGCCAATATGAGGAGGACGAGGAGGAATGATGGTAATAGAAAAAGCTATCGATGTAATACTGCCATACTAGTGGTCATATGCAACTCTCACTCTGTCTCTCTCGCTCTCTCTCCACTCATTTGTAAAGAATGACAAGAATTGCAGGAGCAAATTGAACTTGTAGGACGTGAGATGAAGGGTGTGGAGAGCAATGCAAGGGAGTTTAGGGTTTGAGGTTTAGGGATGAAGATTCCGGGCTTATGGCTTCGGGTATTTACCATCACAACTACCCACACATTACTCCCAAAGCATATGTGCGTATACATTCACCAGCATTCCCTGGGAATCTCATATATCCAAACGGAAATACAGACCTCACCTCATGTAGAAGGGCCCAGCTGCGTGTCGAAATACTTGATGGCAGGAATGTGCCCTGGCTGCTTATCGCAGACAGGATCGATCCTTGAATGTGCATGGACAGAGGAAATTTGGAAGCTTCTCAGAATGGAGCCCTTGAGGACCCTGGGGGTATAACGAGATACTAAAGGGGATGAAGTCATGATTAATTCGAGAAAAGCTTTTGGGGATCCTCATTGTCGCAGGATTTCCTACATATATCTAGGATTATGGATTGAGCTCCTGGAAATAAAATCACGCTCGAAACCTTATTCACGATATCACAATGCCACCATTTGGCACCCTTCTAAACTCTAAAGCCCGTATCACGTACACCAGCAGTCTAAAGCCTGCAACAGCTGCAATTCTCCTAAATCCTAAGCATTGCCCATAAGCCAGGCAGACTTAAGGATGGCTAAGAATCTCGTGCTTTTTGCACACGGAGAGGGTGGAACCCTCAGATCTCAGCCTGGGCCAAGACAATGCTCTTGATATGTTGGACCAAAGGCGTGGGGATTAGGGCTTAAGGGCTAAAGCTCAAAGATCCGGGCTTTGGGTTTGGAGGGGGCAACGCGGACTGTTCACGATCGCGGCTTAAACAGCGGTGTTGTTTTGCTTTTTCACGTAAGAAACCATAAGGATGGTCCTGCACAGGTTTTAGACATACCACGACCGTCCTTGCTTTTCAGGTTTGGGTTTAAGATTTGCATTTGTTGTCTCGCTTGAAGGACACCCTGCCCTATATAGATCCTCAAATTCCTACCTCATATGTTGGATTAGAGGTTAGCGATACGTGTGTAGCAAGTAAGTTGTTTCCAGAGTCATGGCCAAACATCCCAAGCATGCAACTAGCTCATTCTTGGGCTGTGAAAATTTGGCTCCATGCACAAGAGGTTTCGGGGCGTGAGCATCGGCGCTTAGGGTTGGAAACTGATGGAATCAGGGGGACAAAGAACGATCATGGATGCTTGCATAGCTGCAGTCAAAAGATTCAAGCTCATGACACAATGACAGCAAGATGTTTGTTGTTACAGCCAAAGTTTGGTGGCAATATTGACTGGGACCGCTGCGGTCCCCGATCTTATGCGCAGCCATTACTTGTAAAACATGGAAGGATATTCATGCCTTCTCACACAGATTGTACAAAAAATGGAGCATCTTTACCACAAGTGCCCCCAAAACCAAACCACAACTGCGACATGCCCAGGGCCACGTCTTCTGTGCTTCCACCACCCAACAAGATCAACAAACTCACGGGTTCTGGGCTTCTTTCCGCGCTGATGCTTATGCTGCTTTTGAGATCCCTCGCAAGGCCTTAGTCTGGGAGCCCCAGATACTACCCCAGTTTCGGATAGCTTTTCATGGAGTCAAATTCGACATGCCCCTAACAAGTCCCTGGCTGATTTGGGATTGTCCCTGAAAACTGGAAATGCTCCCCAACAAAGCTCTACTTGAGATAATTTGAAATGCAGTCCTAGCTTGGCTTGGTCCCCAGGAGGGTCCTGGTTTGGAAAATTTCCGAATGAAGCCTTTAATTTAGTTGGAAACAAGGCCCTTATGAGGTCTTCAGTTGGACAAGCCAGAATAAACTCCAATTTGGAATAGGAGTCCGCCGAGGCCGGAGGCCTGGGGCGTTCAGATCCAGGGCCGTTGGAAAAGTAAGTTAACCCAGGCGGGAGGGAGGGCATGGACGGGCGTGCGGTGCCGGCTGCCCCTGCTCCGTGCTCTCACCCCTCGACAGCCTTTGCCGAGGCAGTCTCGCGTTGGAGGTGAAAATGTAAGGGACTACTCTGGAATAGTCCATGACACGACACAAATTTGGGATGCTCCCTTAAAACTCTCAGTTGCAGTGTCATATAACAGACTCTAGGTAGGAACAGCTCTTATCACTATTACAAATCCACATAAGCAATGCTGAGTTCTTGATGCGGGAAGCTGTCAGAAGCGGTGCGGCTGCCACGGAGCCAGATGCTCGGGGCTTAAGGGGCTTGGCAAATGCTTTCGGCACCCCTCCAGACGTCCCACCAGATAGTCAATTTGCGCGAACTTATTGTTCCCACCCAGTCTTTGCTGCAGACAGCCGGACACAGTTTCCTGGCACGGACATACGCAATTTCTTCCAATCTCGCCCGTGGTTCAGCTTGCAGGCGTGATTGCGCCTGTAAAGAAATTGGCATGGTGGGTGATCTGCCCCGCGGAAAAGAGCCCGGCCATCCTGCGGCAGTGCGGAGGCGGATGCCCGTAAAGATCCATCAGGTGAACAACGCCTTGACAATGGCCACAACATCAATGTTCCTTTACATGTCTGGAAAGTATGATGTTGGTCTTTGAACCCGCATAAGATTTTCCAGGTTTGCTTTCTACACTCTTCGCCTTGCAAAGTGTTGTTCTTTGCAAAGCAGCTTGCAGTTGTTCTTGACTGGTCCCCGTGCGTCTGCTGCCGTGACATCATCTGTTTGTGGGGATGTGCGCGCTTCCTTGCCATACTTACTCATCACATCATCCCTTGACATTACTGTGGTCAGTATTGGCGGAGTGACACCAAATCAAGAATAATGATGATGACATGACTCCCGGTAGCCCTCCCTCCTGGACCCTTGCTACTAAATCAACGGTGCTCCTCAGCAAGCCAAACGCGAGCAGAAACAGGCGCCGAGCTACTGTCCCATTTCGTAAGCTGGCTGACCGCAATCTATATGTGCGACGAGAACCTGCAAAGAAAGGAAGGACCCATAAACGCTTGGGTCTAGGGTCTGAAGTTTAGGGCTGGCTGCTTTGGGTTTGGGCTCTGGGCGGCATACGGTTTAGGAGTTGCAATTTAGGGCTTAGAGTTCGGGGATTCGGCTTAAAGACTAGGTTTAAGGCAGGATTATCAGTATTCTTCTGGAGGATTTTTGTTTTGCATTACATGGCCATTTCAGAAGTTTCAAGCTACTGCGTTGCTGCGAAAGTGCAAGGAATTTCAAGGCTCCTGCAGGGTACCGGAGGCCTCCGACTGACCCTTGATGTTTCCTTTTCTTTGAGGCTGAGTAACGAATAAATGCACCGCTTTCCAACCCTTGTAGGTTTGATCTCTGTGCAGACTTTCCAACACAGGAGACACGCAAACGCCCAACAGTGCAAGGTGCCTACTGGGCCCGCGAATTAAAAATATGAGCCTGCCTGTCTACCGTAATTCCTCTTTTTATGCAGAAATATGAGGGCTTACAGGGACATGGTAATATAGCAGACAGCGGTTTTCAACTTCCCCTATTTTACAAGTTGCTGAAAGTGAGCTTAGAAGTCTTGGAGGGGCTATGTGGGTAAGGCGATTTTTCGGGTTAGAAAACTTTACAGAACTCGCGAGGTGTATCTTAAAAATGCAATCCCCTCCCCTGTCTAGCTTGCAGTTGCTTGTGCAGTCAGCTTTGTATTGCGTGACTATGTAGTTTGCCGGGTGCTGGTTGAGACTTTAACCAGGTGGCTTCCCCACCCACCCAACCCAGGGAAGGTCCCCATTGGCCAGTGGGTGTCATGGTGTCCCAAAGCCAAAAAAAGGATGGGCGCGTTCAGGACTGGTTGCGTTTAGCTTTGTGCGTGATACAGTGCGAATGGAAGACTCCAAATGCCATCCTTACATGAAGACGAGACAGGAGATCTATTGCACGAAGCCGAATCGCCAGAAGATTCAGCTTGATACCTACTGTTGGATGACCACAAGCCCCACACCATAACCCCCAGGCCTGAACCCATGTTCCGACAGTTGGATGGCCTTGTCGGAGCTTTCCCAGTCGGACATGAGCTGCGTCCACGTGGCCTAGCTGTCAAGCGGAAGACAGAGGAATACATGAGACTAAAGACGTTCTGTGACTTCATAAACTTCTCTTGAGGATAGCATGAGGAAAGCTACACAAGTAGGAGGAGCGAATGGAGTAGAAAGAATACAAGTGGTTACAACACATGTCAGGATCATGAGGTCTTTTCATCGAGCACCTGGTACTACAACAGAGGCAAACATGCTACATTGAAGATGCAATTCCGCATCGGTCATCAGAGGCGCGTTCAGCTTGTTCTTGCACCAAGGACAGAAGTCCGCGCAGAAAAGCACCAGTGCATTCTTTCCTAGGCTCACAAGCTTTGCTTGAACCGGGGAAACGTACATCCCCAAAATCTGCATCTGAAGGCTTCTAGACAGGCCCTAATAAATATGCTCCAAGTTTCCATCAGCACCGACAATGTCGTCGAAATTCTCATTCCTAGCTGTCGTCTGGCAGGCACAGGTGTCGAGCTTTAATGTTTGTAGAAAGGCCTGCAAAGAGTTTTAGGGCGTGTTGTGCGCGGAGGCAACTTTGCAAGTAAGACTCGAGTCTGCAATGTGTTCTTCGTCAAGGGTGTATACTTCAGGCACAAGGGATCCCGAACAGTGAATCAACGCAGCCCAAACCTCCTGAACGCACTGCTAACTGCTTACTGCTCCAAAGTCTGGTTTCCCAGCAGAACCTGCATTCTCACAGTTGTGCTTCCCAACCAGCCTCTTGATTGCTATAAGGGCCGAGAAGTAATGAGAATGGGGTGTTGGTGGGGTTAGGCACTGCGAAGTTCTTGCTTCATTTCGGTAGGCGAATACATGGCACGACCCTGAAGGCAGCAACTGTATGTCGGTTCCCAAAAAAAAAGGTACACACCACAAAAGCACTTATCAACATGCCTTCGAAGCCCTACTACATCTCAAACCTCCACCCTTTAAACCTCTGAAATCCGTTATTTCTGTCTTCCCCACTATATCGCTGTACAACTTTTGCTCCTGTGTGTCCCGCTGAATCTCTATGTAACGCCACGAAAAATTCAGAACTATCTCCCTAGCTTGTCTAGGCACCGCCTGCTGGAGTCGAATCATTCAATTGACATGAAGGAACGTGGGTAAATCAGTTGGCGGCAGTTCAGCGTTTGGGGGTTAAGGGCTTCAATTGTCTATGGAGGAACATGCTCTCTCTGAAAACCTGGTCCTTAAACTCTGAAGCCCTGAAGATTGACATCCTGAACCTCAACTGTTAAGCCGCGTATATGTCCTCAGGGCCTCCAGACCAGTCCGTTTCCAACAACTAAGGTCCACCCAAAAATAATCAGGGTAGAAGACCTATGGAGGAACTGTAAGGGCATTTCTTGAAAAGTTAGATCCCCTATACCGCCTCAAAAAACTGCATTCCATATTGTAGTTGAAGGTCCAAAAACCCATGTTCCTGAGACACCTCTTACCGCGAGCACCTAAACCCTTAGCCCATAAAACCCTCAATCAAGCAGCTTCAATTCCAATGCTTGGCCGAACCTCGGACGCTAAGACTGGGGTCGGACTGTGGATTCAGGGCTGTCAGGTTTGAATTTACGGTCTTGGAAAGCATTTGCTTCTCCCACCCTCCTTAACTTGTTTGATCTTTGACAGACCCTCTGATAGTAAGGTTTGAATAAACACGACCCCAAGCCAACATTGTGCACCCCTGCTGCACGGTGATCGAGGAAGAGCCCATGGCTTGAAAGGTTCGCCGGGTGTGCGTGTGTGATGCTGGTCACATGAAACGGAAACCACAAGTCTGCAATGACTGCGTGCCATCACATGCTGATATTCAGGATCCTCTTAAAGGCTTCCAGGGCAGTAGAATCCCAAGTCCTGCGACCTGATACAAGGACCCATCAACTGTATAAAGCTCATGTCGAATCTATCAGAAGTAGGCTTCGATGAAGATCGGAGACATCTGCTGCCAACAGTGGGGTCCCCTGACAAAGTCGCCATCCTTATTCAAAAGCTGAAAAGGACTCAAACATTCATGTCATACTTGGGATCCAGGACCGGTCGAACATCTCAAATCAAGTTTCCAATCCGAGACGGGGACGTTCAACAAGGCTTGAAGAAAAAACAAAACTTTCTAATGCTTTTGACTTTTAACTCAATATGAAGGGTGAAAGAACGGTAGGCAGCGTCAACGACCAAACAAGCACAGAAATTGTAAGACCAGTAATGCCACTGGTCGAATGGAAATGCGGATGTTGCAGTAGGTTGTTTGTGCAGCCGAAACAATCTGTTCACTATCATGGAAGTCTAGCATGAGGCATGTGGCATTGCTTGGTAGCAAACATGGTCATGCGTAGAAGACTAGTTACTCTCTATTGACCCCAATGAATGCAAAACAGCCATGGCTGAAAGGACAGGACTGCTGACTAGAGGAATGACCATTGCACACAGCAGTAATTGTCATCACATGGTACCAAATCGCGGATATGAAATTTTCCATCTTAGGTTCCCCCATGGCCACAAAAAATCTGAGCAGGCCCTCATGGGGGCCTCAAAAGAAGGGAGACATCTACACGCCAGCCATGGTTGTCAAGGCGCGCCAAAAGCAAAGGCAATAGCCTGACAAGCGCGCCAGGCATCGCGCCCATTGCTCAACAGGATCCCGGTTGCCGATATTTATCCAAAATAGGTTGCCTCATATTAGGTGGACACATGAAGATATCTGTAATTTTGAGCAAGCCCCCTGGTGAATTGGGCTCTGCTTGGATGCTTGAGGGGCCCTATACATAGGCTTAATATCCCCAAATGTAAGCCCATAAGAAGCCGAATAACCCCCTTTAAAAATTACTGACGACGTTGTGAATCCTCCCTTGCATCCAAGTAGGAGACACACCTAATATCAAGTTGGACAGTTTTTCCTGGCATGCAGGAAGATCTTTGCTGACATTTCCAAGCACACAATTTTATCTGACAACAGCTATAGAACGTGCTATGCCTTAGCCCTTTCTGGCCTAAAGATGAAGACACCATTCTTAAGGAAAAGGATAAAGTTGCAGCAGCTGCGAATCATGGTCGCACAACACAGCAAACCTGGCAACATTCTTGTCCTTGCTAAGAACACAACACCTCCAAGCAACATGAAAATGTTCATTCTGCCCTCAGCACATGGAAAGACACGGAAACTGCCATGAGTCAAGAAAGCTTTCATGCTTGAAGGAAGCCCTAGGCAAATCTCAGGAAGCTTTCAGAGATGGCGCCTCTCATACACATCTTGGTGCTTCCCCAAAGTGGAATCTTACAAATGATGGGCACCGAAAACCTCCTTCAGGTCATGCGTATCTTTCTTCATGGGGGTTGTCCCTGCTGACACGCCCCAACCCTATCTGGAGGATCTTCATCATTGTTGAACCTGAGGAACCAAGTCCAAAAAAACTTCCCATGTAAGGTAGGATTCAGATTTATGCACAAAGTCACCCATGTTTCCCAAGAGGCCTCATTGCTCATTCACCAAACACATAGGCAACCTACCTGGTCTTCCTAGATACTGCAAATCTCGGTCCTTAGGATGCAGAAGGATCAAAAGGTCCATATACCAAGGCAACATGGTTCCTAAGTGGGTGACACTTTCATCTTCGTCTAATCCCAATATACCTCGAAGCCTGAATTTTGACAAACATTGGGGTAAGAGGCTGGGAGCATCCCCCATCCTTGGGTCTGCGCTTAGGGGTCTGTTGTGGTCCAGGGTTCAGGGATGAGTTTAAGTTTTGGGTATACGGGCTTAGCGTCAAGGATTTAGAGCTTAGGCTGTGAGATTTCCCATTTAGGGTTGAGCAGTCAAACTGTTAGGGCCTTAGGTCATTCGTTTGGGAATTCAGTTTCCTGTGTTCAACGTGCTGTTTAACCTTTCTCACTTAGTTCTCAGCGCTTGTGAACAAGTGCTCAGGCTGTAGTGTTCTGGGGTTCTGTGTGCTTTTCAGGGTTTGGGCCTAGGGTTTATGTTCAGCCTGCAAACTTTGACATTCCGGATTCGAACCTTCATTCCCAGTCTGAGTTGCTGGCACTCCACCAGCACTGCAGTCACGTGGACCCCTGCCGCATGATGGCTTAAGCGTTTCACGTAAGGCTTCATGAGTGAGATTGCCAAGCTGGAAGCCTGAAGCGGTAAACGAAGCTTCTCCAGCAGCCCTCTGTCTATACAATACCCTCTACAAACAAACATGGAAGTCCCAAAGGGCCAGACTACAGTCCTTGCTGTTGGGGCAGGGTAATTCTGGTCGGAGGTCTCAAGATCGTGGCTGGGTTTTTCATTACCTTCCCGGGCTCCGCATAATAATGGTTTTTCCATGGCTCCTCATAAAAGAGTTGTGTTGCGCAAGTAAGTCCAAGTCCAACAAAGAAGGGACCAGAGTGGCAAGGGCACCTATGGCGTTTATGTGCTCCTCCACATGGAAATATGCACGGTTTCGTGTCGCTGGATTCTCCAAGCGCTTGACTCCTGAAATCCAGAAATCCTAAACCCCAACCCCTAAGCCTTGAACATCACGCCTTCAAAAGCCCAAAGTAGACAAAAACTGCGCAAAGACCCTTTTTCCTTTACTTCTGCAAGCTGCTGTTCTCGCCGCTTATAGCTTGTGACCTCGCGCAGATGAAATCTTGAACAACTAGGCCACGCATCAACGGAGTTTGCAAGTATTGTTAGTGGCATCTGAAGTTGTCGAATGTATTTGCCTTTTGGCCGTCGTATCCTTTTAGTATTGGGCCGCAGTACATGCTTTGAGTTTCTGGCAGACTCAACACTCCCCCCAACTCACATAGATGCTTTGAGTTTTCGGAGAATACTCTGGACGCAATGACATCGAACACCAACACTTTCTGCGCAAAATGCAGATCTGCAACGACGGAGCCTTTACCATCTAGCATGTGGGTTTCTCACAATTTGGGTCCCCTTCCTAGGGGTCCCTACAATATGAGGAAGAAAAAATGATTTGGGGGACATGCCTGGAGAAACTCCCCCCTATGGACGATGAGAACGGGATCGCAACCACAACATGCTTCTTTTTCGCCAGATTTGAAACAGGTCCAAGTGTCCAAAAAAAGATGACTGCAAAGCCAAAACACCTGAACCCTCTGAGTAAGGCGGCTTGCAAACTGATGGCCCCTTTTTGGATTCCTCCATTCTGCTATTTGCAACGATATATTCTCAGCTATGAGGGCCATACTACTTGCGAACACCACATCTTGAGTCAACGTGTCCACATCAACGCATCACTTCCAGACCTCCAATCCTCGAAAGTAGACCGCATGCCAATGCCTGGAACTTCAAAGGAAAAATTGTCAAATCTTCGCAGCGGATGCATGGATTCTACAAGAAAAGTATTGGAGGATAAGACCCGGACCGCACAAGAATAATCTCAGTCATTCAAATTTCTACGGCACGCCTGCTGGTACTGGCGTACCCTGGCTGCGGCGACGAAGAGCAGCGGCGAGACACCATGGGCGGGCCTCTACTCTGCGGGGCCCTGACATTATTTCAGGTAGAGTGACCCTGGGGTTAGAGAAGGCAAACATTCCACGTACTGCTTGCGAATGGAGATTCGGGCCTGGGTACTGACGAAGGGCTTGGAGACTTGGAGATCGCAGAAACCTACCGATTAAAAAGTTGTCAGGCTTCCATTGCTCAAGACTCAGGCTGCAGTGGTGAGGGTATCAATACATAAGTGACCCCTCTTGAAGGCTTAGATGTGGGGCTCGAGGGTAATAACGATTCAGCGGTTTCGGATTCAAACGTTAGCCTCAGCGTCAGAGAGCGGCGGCACCGCGGTTTAGTGACAGGTCTGCAGATAGTAACCAGAAGGCCCAAAACGCCAGTAACTTTGTTTCTGGTTTCTTCGAAATGATGAATGGAAACTTCCGTCCAGCGTACTGGTTTTGAGGCTTAGGCTTGCGGTGCAAGCCACCACCCTCGCATCTTGGGATGTGTGCTATGTCATTGCAGGCTGTTGCTCAAAACTTAAGGGCTCTGAAAATCAAACGTCCTTCGTCGGGGGCCTAGAACACAAAGATTGCGCATACATGATCCGAAACAAGCCGGCCCTGCTTTGAAAGCTTCCCAGAACGAGATGTGGGTTTAATGGGCTCCAATTTTTAGGGCTTGGAATGATTCAATAACTCATTTCATGTTCTTTCAGCTTGGCACCATGGCTGCATCTCGAAACTGAGGCCCAAAGTATTTCTGAGCACAGCGGGAACCTTTCAAAGAACGGCATTGCGCGGAGGGGGATTCCAAGGAGCCGGGATACCATTGAATGACAATCATGTTTTGAGAAGTTTGCGCGGGTGTCGTCAATGTTTGCATTTATGTAACCGTTATCGTATCCCAGCATGCGCTCCGAAGGAACAACTCCCCGTGCACCTGAAACTTCTTTTCGAGCGTGCACAACACGTAAACCTCTGCTAAAACACCGCCTCAAGCAGACCCAGATATGGGTCAGGAAAGCTTCTCAACACATGTGAACGTACCACAAGAACCTGTGTCAAAAACATGCCCCCACACAGAAAAAGCACAAAAAACCTGGACCCATAATTCAGAAAGGTGACACCAAGAATGGCATCTTCATATAACTTTACAACTTTTGTGGGGTATCAATGAAGTACATTGCAAGCGATCCCCATGGATTGTTATCACTCTGAATTCACTCTAAACTAGCATGCGCATGGGAGACCTTCAGCTTTCTGGGTTAATCTTCATGAAAACTCCGCTGGTGCCTCCAGAAAAGAGGGCCCTTACACCGACACGCTTTCTTGAAGACAAGTTAGCTGAGTACATGAGCTCTAGCTCGGGAGACTTCCTGCAAGAGCTTCCCATAGACCTAAAACCATGACAGCCTGGGAGATGTATTTAGAGAGTGCATCTCTTCAAGGCCTCGAGAAGGGCAATACAGAGAAACCTTGCTTCATAAAAAATGTTTCTGTGGTCTTCTGGAAACTCCCAGGTCTTTCAGAAACTCCCATGTGCCTCACCCGCAACAAACGGCTCGAGCACTGTTGCAACGAAGCCGCCCGGAGCCTGCGACACACAAATTGCAGTTTGGGGCAGAGCGCTTATAAATTAGGGTTTAGGGCTTAAGATTTAGGATTTGGGTATTGGGGCTTGGGAATAGGAACTCATGCGTTGGAGTTCAAGATGCGGGTTTAGGCTCAGGATAAAACAGACATTAGGCTAAGGGTCCAAGAACTTGGTCTAAGGGTTCTGGGTCCAGCTTTGAGGATTGAAGAACATAAAGAACACTCACAGTGCATTATGGTCCCCTTTTCCGGCATCCTTTCATAATCACGCACTTCATATTGGGGCACAGTTGGGGCACAGCAACATGTCCGGGAAACACTGCTACACATCATTGAACCCCTTCTTGTTGAGACCTATCTAGCCATTGCATTCCCAGGTAGAGCTCCTTTGTATCCCCATACAGCTGTCATGCGGCACATATATAGACCCAAATAAACTACTGAGTTAAGTCAATTATCCTGGAAGCGTTAAACCGTGTGCCCCACTAAACGCTTGACCCTAATGAGCTTTGTCCCTGTCAGCCTAGTAAGAGACAGCATCCTTTCGCATCAAAGCGACCCACACGCCAAAAAGTAGAAATAA